TATGGCATTTTAGAAAAGCAGAAATCAAACAAGCTAAGATATTAAACCATTTCATATGCAAAGAAAATTTTACATTATTCCTCAATCACATCAAAAGTTTTATATTTTCTTTAAATAAACATTGACAAATTTGATAGTATGTATATTTGTATGTAGTATGTATATGTTATGACATGTATTGTATACTTGCTAAAAAAATGACCTAAAAATTTTAAATCTTATTGTAGATATTTAAAACATAGGTAATATTACAATTAAGAAGAAACTTAGTATGAAATAATGCTAACTCTAAAATATATGTGTAAAATGAATTAGTCTTATATGATTTATTTCTTTTTTATTAAGTAATATCAAACACCCCAAGAAGTCATTTATGTGGTATAGTGGTTATTGCATTTGTGTTAACATGAAAAACACGTTCATCTGTATACTGAGAAAAACAAGTTATATTAAATTTTTATACTTTTGGTCAATGTAAGTAATTTATATTGAAAGAAACATGCCTTATGCCAATAGAAAACACTGACAAATTAATATTAAATAAAACTGAATCAATGGCAATGCAGAAAAATGGCAGTGTAATATTTAATTTATATTTTAATATAATTTGAAATTTACGTATTTATACATATTTTCTAAAATAGTTATTGCTTTTTTTTGCGTAAAACTCATTTATCATTGTTGGACATAGTTTTCATGTCTTGTTACAAAATCAGAATGAAAACAAATAAATATATCACACAATTTAATACGCGAAAATAAAATTTTAGGTTACTCGTTAGTCGTTTATAAATGATTATTTTGTCTTAATAAATTTTAGAATTGGACAATTTAATTTACCCAGCATCTAATAAAATAAAGGCAATTCAAATCTGCTTTAGTCGGTATACATTTTGTTGTTTGAGACCCTTAATTCCTTTTAGGAAAAGGTACAAATTTGAATATGTTGATCTTACATTATAAGTGATATCATAGGTGTGTTACATGCCAAATGTTGTCAGCTTATTGTGATTAAGTCAAGTATATTTAAATTTGTTCATATATTTATTTTAAATTATGACATATTTATTGTATTTGCATAAAACTTAAAAAGCATTTTGCTCCATTTATTATTTATAAAAGAAAAAGATATAATTTATTTTTGTATACATTATTGTATGTCTTATACATGAATAGTGACATGTGTTTTATTTGTGCATGAATAAATTAGCTAAAAACTTTTAAAACTGATTGGAAATATGTAAAACACATGTGATATCACAAGATAGAAGAAACCAAGTATAAACTAGTGCTCTGTCTAAAATATATTTGCAACATCAATAACTCTTATATGATTAGTTTCTTTTTTAGTAGGAATAACTACAGTTGTTTCTGTGGTGTAGTGGTTATCACATGTGTTTTACATGCACAAGGCCCTCAGTTCGATCCTGAGCAGAAGCAATGTATAACATTTGGAAGTAATTTTTAATAATCAAATCAGTATTAATGTCAAACTAATTTTAAATACTGCTGAATTCAAGCCAATGCAGAACAATGATGATTTAACGTTTAATATAAAGTATAAATGAAAATAAAACTAGTGAGTTTATAAATAATTTTCCAATTGCTGTTTTGTATATTTTGTAAAATGAAACACATTTATGTACAATTTTCATGTGATCGTTTTTATGGCATTTTAGAAAAGCAGAAATCAAACAAGCTAAGATATTAAACCATTTCATATGCAAAGAAAATTTTACATTATTCCTCAATCACATCAAAAGTTTTATATTTTCTTTAAATAAACATTGACAAATTTGATAGTATGTATATTTGTATGTAGTATGTATATGTTATGACATGTATTTTATACTTGCTAAAAAAATGACCTAAAAATTTTAAATCTTATTGTAGATATTTAAAACATAGGTAATATTACAATTAAGAAGAAACTTAGTATGAAATAATGCTAACTCTAAAATATATGTGTAAAATGAATTAGTCTTATATGATTTATTTCTTTTTTATTAAGTAATATCAAACACCCCAAGAAGTCATTTATGTGGTATAGTGGTTATTGCATTTGTGTTAACATGAAAAACACGTTCATCTGTATACTGAGAAAAACAAGTTATATTAAATTTTTATACTTTTGGTCAATGTAAGTAATTTATATTGAAAGAAACATGCCTTATGCCAATAGAAAACACTGACAAATTAATATTAAATAAAACTGAATCAATGGCAATGCAGAAAAATGGCAGTGTAATATTTAATTTATATTTTAATATAATTTGAAATTTACGTATTTATACATATTTTCTAAAATAGTTATTGCTTTTTTTTTTGCGTAAAACTCATTTATCATTGTTGGACATAGTTTTCATGTCTTGTTACAAAATCAGAATGAAAACAAATAAATATATCACACAATTTAATACGAAAATAAAATTTTAGGTTACTCGTTAATCGTTTATAAATGATTATTTTGGGTTCACTTAAACATTGACAAATCCAATAGTAGATTGAGTTGCATTAATATGTGAATGCCACATATAATTAACGAGGAAAAAAATATTAATTCCATTTTTATCTCTTAAACAATTTACTGCTAATTGATTCTTGGAGCGACAGATTTGAAAAAGAAATAAATTTTAGAATTGGACAATTTAATTTACCCAGCATTTAAGAAAATAAAGACAATTCAAATCTGCTTTATTCGGTATACATTTTGTTGTTTGAGACACTTAATTCTTTTATATGTTAGAAAAGGTAAATTTGATTATGTTATTCGTACATTATAAGTGATATCATAGATGTGTTAAATGCCAAATGTTGTCAGTGCATTATGATTAAGTCAAATATATTTAAATTTGTTAATTTATTTGTTTTTAAATTATGACATATTTATTGTATTTGCATAAAACTTAAAAAAACATTTTGCTCCATTTATTATTTATTAAAGAAAACAGATATAATTTATTTTTGTATACATTATTGTATGTCTTATACATAAATAGTGACATGTGTTTTATATTTGCATGAATAAATTGGCTAAAAAAACAATTAAAACTGATAGGAAATTTGTAAAAAAAATTCGTGATATCACAAGATAGAAGAAACTATGTATAACATAGAGTTCTGTCTAAAATATATTTGCAACATCAATAACTCTTATATGATTTGTTTCTTTTTTAGTATGAACAAATACAGTTGATTCTGTGGTGTAGTGGTTATCACATGTGTTTTACATGCACAAGGCCCTCAGTTCGATCCTGAGCAGAAGCAATGTGTAACAATTGGAAGTAATTTATAATAGTCGTAAAAGAATTAATGTCTAACTAATTTTAAATACTACTGAATTTTATGCCAATGCAGAACAATGATGATTTAAAGTTTAATATAAAGTATAAATGAAAATAAAAATAATTAGTTATAAATAATTTTCCAATTGCTGTTTTGTATATTTTGTAACATGAAACACATTTACATACAATTTTCATGTGAACGTTTTTATGGCATTTTAGAAAAGCAGAAACCAAACAAGCTAAGATATTAAACCATTTCATATTCAAAGAAAATTTTACATTATTTGACAATCACTTGAAAAGTTTTATATTTTCTTTAAATAAACATTTACAAATTTGGTAGTATGTATATTTGTATGTAGTATGTATATGTTATGACATGTATTTTATACTTGCTAAAAAATGACCTAAAAATTTCAAATCTTATTGTAGATATTTAAAACATAGGTAATATTACAATTAAGAAGAAACTTAGTATGAAATAATGTTAACTCTAAAATATATGTGCAATATGAATTAGTCTTATATGATTATTTCTTTTTTAATAAGTAATATCAAACACCCCAAGAAGTCATTTATGTGGTAAAGTGGTTATTGCATGTGTGTTTAACATGAAAAACACCTTCAGCTGTATACTGAGAAAAAGCAAGTTATAGGAAATATTTATAATTTTTGTCATTACAAGTAATTTATAATGAAAGAAACATGACTTATGCCAATAGAAAACACTGACAATTTAATATTAAATAAAACTGAATCAATGGCAATGCAGAAAAATGGCAGTGCAATATTTAATTTATATTTTAATATAATTTTAAATTTACGCATTTATACATAGTTTCTAAAATAGTTATTGCTTTTATCATTGTTGGACATAGTTTTCATGTCTTGTTACAAAATCAGAATGAAAACAAATAAATATATCACACAATTTAATACGAAAATAAAATTTTAGGTTACTCGTTAATCGTTTGTAAATGATTATTTTGGGTTCACTTAAACATTGACAAATCCAATAGTAGATTGAGTTGCATTAATATGTGAATGCCACATATAATTAACGAGGAAAAATATTAATTCCATTTTCATCTCTTAAACAATTTACTGCTAATTGATTCTTGTAGCGACAAATTTGAAAAAGAAATAAATTTTAGAATTGGACAATTTAATTTACCCAGCATTTAAGAAAATAAAGACAATTCAAATCTGCTTTATTCGGTATACATTTTGTTGTTTGAGACACTTAATTCTTTTATATGTTAGAAAAGGTGCAAATTTGATTATGTTATTCGTACATTATAAGTGATATCATAGGTGTGTTAAATGCCAAATGTTGTCAGTGCATTATGATTAAGTCAAATATATTTAAATTTGTTAATTTATTTGTTTTTAAATTATGACATATTTATTGTATTTGCATAAAACTTAAAAAAACATTTTGCTCCATTTATTATTTATTAAAGAAAACAGATATAATTTATTTTTGTATACATTATTGTATGTCTTATACATAAATAGTGACATGTGTTTTATATTTGCATGAATAAATTGGCTAAAAAAACAATTAAAACTGATAGGAAATTTGTAAAAAAAATTCGTGATATCACAAGATAGAAGAAACTATGTATAACATAGAGTTCTGTCTAAAATATATTTGCAACATCAATAACTCTTATATGATTTGTTTCTTTTTTAGTATGAACAAATACAGTTGATTCTGTGGTGTAGTGGTTATCACATGTGTTTTACATGCACAAGGCCCTCAGTTCGATCCTGAGCAGAAGCAATGTGTAACAATTGGAAGTAATTTATAATAGTCGTAAAAGAATTAATGTCTAACTAATTTTAAATACTACTGAATTTTATGCCAATGCAGAACAATGATGATTTAAAGTTTAATATAAAGTATAAATGAAAATAAAAATAATTAGTTTTAAATAATTTTCCAATTGCTGTTTTGTATATTTTGTAACATGAAACACATTTACATACAATTTTCATGTGAACGTTTTTATGGCATTTTAGAAAAGCAGAAACCAAACAAGCTAAGATATTAAACCATTTCATATTCAAAGAAAATTTTACATTATTCGTCAATCACATCAAAAGTTTTATATTTTCTTTAAACATTTACAAATTTGATAGTATGTATATTTGTATGTAGTATGTATATGTTATGACATGTATTTTATACTTGCTAAAAAAATGACCTAAAAATTTTAAATCTTATTGTAGATATTTAAAACATAGGTAATATTACAATTAAGAAGAAACTTAGTATGAAATAATGTTAACTCTAAAATATATGTGCAATATGAATTAGTCTTATATGATTATTTCTTTTTTAATAAGTAATATCAAACACCCCAAGAAGTCATTTATGTGGTAAAGTGGTTATTGCATGTGTTTAACATGAAAAACACCTTCAGCTGTATACTGAGAAAAAGCAAGTTATAGGAAATATTTATAATTTTTGTCATTACAAGTAATTTATAATGAAAGAAACATGACTTATGCCAATAGAAAACACTGACAATTTAATATTAAATAAAACTGAATCAATGGCAATGCAGAAAAATGGCAGTGTAATATTTAATTTATATTTTAACATAATTTGAAATTTATGCATTGATAAATAGTTTCTAAAATGGTTATTGGTTTATTTTTTGTGCCTAAAGATCATTTCTTATTGTTGGACATTTTTTTTATGGCTTGTTCCAAATCTGAATGGAAACAAACAAATATATTACACAATTTAATACGAAAATAAAATTTTAGGTTACTCGTTAATCGTTTATAAATGATTATTTTGTCTTGACTGAAACATTGACAAATCCAACAGTAGATTGAGTTGCATTTATATGTGAATGCCACATATAATCAATGATGAAAAAATATTAAGTCCATTTATATCTTTTAAACAATTTACTGCTAATTTATTGTTGTAGCGACAAACTTGAAAAAGAAATAAGTTTTAGAATTGGACAATTTACTTTACCCAGCATGTAAGAAAATAAAGACAATTCAAATCTGCTTTATTCGCATACATTTTGTTGTTTGAGACTTAATTCCTTTAAGTGTTGGAAGCGATACAAATTTGAGTTTGTTGCTCTACATTATAAGTGATTTCATAGGTGTGTTACATGCCAAAGGTTGTCAGTGCATTGTGATTATGTGAAGTGTATTTAAATTTGTTCATTTATTTATAACTTAAATTATGACATATGTATTGTATTTGCATAAAACTTAAAAAAACATTTTCCTCCATTTATTATTTTTTGAAGGCAAAAGATTTAATTTATTTTTGTATACATTATTGTATGTCTTATACATAAATAGTGACATGTGTTTTATTTTTGCATAAATAAATTGGCTAAAAACTTTTAAAACTGATTGGAAAAATGCAAAACACATGTGATATCTCAAGAAAGAAGAAACTATGTATAAAATAGTGTTCTGTCTAAAACATATTTGCAACATCAATAACTCTTATATGATTTCTTTCTTTTTTAATAGGGACAAATACAGTTGTTTCTGTGGTGTAGTGGTTATCACATGTGTTTTACAAGCACAAGTCCCTCAGTTCAATCCTAAGCAGAAGCAATGTATAACAATTGGAAGTAATTTTTAGTAATCATAACAGAATTAAAGTCAAACTAATTTTAAATACTACTTAATTTATGCCAATGCAGAACAATGATGATTTAACGTTTAATATAAAGTATAAATGAAAATAAAACTAGTGAGTTTATAAATAATTTTCCAATTGCTGTTTTGTATATTTTATAACATGAAACACATTTATGTACAACTTTCATGTGATCGTTGTTATGGCATTTTAGAAAGCAGAAACCAAATAAGCTAAGATAATAAACATTTCATATGCAAAGAAAATTTTACATTATTCATCAATCACATCAAAAGTTTTATATTTTCTTTAAATAAACATTGACAAATTTGATAGTATGTATACTTGTATGTAGTATGTATATGACATGTATTTTATACTTGCTAAAAAAATGACCTAAAAATTTTAAATCTTATTGTAGATATTTAAAACATAGGTAATATTACAATTAAGAAGAAACTTAGTATGAAATAATGTTAACTCTAAAATATATGTGCAATATGAATTAGTCTTATATGATTTATTTCTTTTTTAATAAGTAATATCAAACACCCCAAGAAGTCATTTATGTGGTAAAGTGGTTATTGCATGTGTGTTTAACATGAAAAACACCTTCAGCTGTATACTGAGAAAAAGCAAGTTATAGGAAATATTTATAATTTTTGTCATTACAAGTAATTTATAATGAAAGAAACATGACTTATGCCAATAGAAAACACTGACAATTTAATATTAAATAAAACTGAATCAATGGCAATGCAGAAAAATGGCAGTGTAATATTTAATTTATATTTTAACATAATTTGAAATTTATGCATTGATAAATAGTTTCTGAAATGGTTATTGGTTTATTTTTTGTGCCCAAAGATCATTTCTTATTGTTGGACTTTTTTTTTATGGCTTGTTCCAAATCTGAATGAAAACAAACAAATATATTACACAATTTAATACGAAAATAAAATTTTAGGTTACTCGTTAATCGTTTATAAATGATTATTTTGTCTTGACTGAAACATTGACAAATCCAACAGTAGATTGAGTTGCATTTATATGTGAATGCCACATATAATCAATGATGAAAAAATATTAAGTCCATTTATATCTTTTAAACAATTTACTGCTAATTTATTGTTGTAGCGACAAACTTGAAAAGAAATAAGTTTTAGAATTGGACAATTTACTTTTACCAGCATGTAAGAAAATAAAGACAATTCAAATCTGCTTTATTCGCATACATTTTGTTGTTTGAGACGCTTAATTCCTTTAAGTTGGAAGCGATACAAATTTGAGTTTGTTGCTCTACATTATAAGTGATTTCATAGGTGTGTTACATGCCAAATTGTCAGTGCATTGTGATTATGTGAAGTGTATTTAAATTTGTTCATTTATTTATAACTTAAATTATGACATATGTATTGTATTTGCATAAAACTTAAAAAAACATTTTCCTCTATTTAATATTTTTTGAAGGCAAAAGATTTAATTTATTTTTGTATACATTATTGTATGTCTTATACATAAATAGTGACATGTGTTTTATTTTTGCATAAATAAATTGGCTAAAAACTTTTAAAACTAATTGGAAAAATGCAAAACACATGTGATATCACAAGAAAGAAGAAACTATGTTTAAAATAGTGTTCTGTCTAAAACATATTTGCAACATCAATAACTCTTATATGATTTGTTTCTTTTTTAATAGGGACAAATACAGTTGTTTCTGTGGTGTAGTGGTTATCACATGTGTTTTACAAGCACAAGTCCCTCAGTTCAATCCTAAGCAGAAGCAATGTATAACAATTGGAAGTAATTTTTAGTAATCATAACAGAATTAAAGTCAAACTAATTTTAAATACTACTTAATTTATGCCAATGCAGAACAATGATGATTTAACGTTTAATATAAAGTATAAATGAAAATAAAACTAGTGAGTTTATAAATAATTTTCCAATTGCTGTTTTGTATATTTTATAACATGAAACACATTTATGTACAACTTTCATGTGATCGTTGTTATGGCATTTTAGAAAAGCAGAAACCAAATAAGCTAAGATAATAAACCATTTCATATGCAAAGAAAATTTTACATTATTCATCAATCACATCAAAAGTTTTATATTTTCTTTAAATAAACATTGACAAATTTGATAGTATGTATACTTGTATGTAGTATGTATATGTTATGACATGTATTTTATACTTGCTAAAAAAATGACCTAAAAATTTTAAATCTTATTGTAGATATTTAAAACATAGGTAATATTACAATTAAAAAGAAACTTAGTATGAAATAATGTTAACTCTAAAATATATGTGCAATATGAATTAGTCTTATATGATTTATTTCTTTTTTAATAAGTAATATCAAACACCCCAAGAAGTCATTTATGTGGTAAAGTGGTTATTGCATGTGTGTTTAACATGAAAAACACCTTCAGCTGTATACTGAGAAAAAGCAAGTTATAGGAAATATTTATAATTTTTGTCATTACAAGTAATTTATAATGAAAGAAACATGACTTATGCCAATAGAAAACACTGACAATTTAATATTAAATAAAACTGAATCAATGGCAATGCAGAAAAATGGCAGTGTAATATTTAATTTATATTTTAACATAATTTGAAATTTATGCATTGATAAATAGTTTCTGAAATGGTTATTGGTTTATTTTTTGTGCCCAAAGATCATTTCTTATTGTTGGACTTTTTTTTTATGGCTTGTTCCAAATCTGAATGAAAACAAACAAATATATTACACAATTTAATACGAAAATAAAATTTTAGGTTACTCGTTAATCGTTTATAAATGATTATTTTGTCTTGACTGAAACATTGACAAATCCAACAGTAGATTGAGTTGCATTTATATGTGAATGCCACATATAATCAATGATGAAAAAATATTAAGTCCATTTATATCTTTTAAACAATTTACTGCTAATTTATTGTTGTAGCGACAAACTTGAAAAAGAAATAAGTTTTAGAATTGGACAATTTACTTTACCCAGCATGTAAGAAAATAAAGACAATTCAAATCTGCTTTATTCGGCATACATTTTGTTGTTTGAGATGCTTAATTCCTTTAAGTGTTAGAAAAGGTGCAAATTTGATTATGTTGCTCGTACATTATAAGTGATATCATAGGTGTGTTACATGCCAAAAGTTGTCAGTGCATTTTGGTTAAGTCAAGTATATTTAAATTTGTCCATTTATTTATTTTTAAATTACCTTACTTGTATTAAAATTCGAGTCGTACTCATTTTCGCTCAGCTTTAAATTCGCGCAAGTAGTTTTATGTGCTCGTTCTTTTTGGTTTGTTCAAAAGAACTATTAATAATTAACGCATTTATATTGAGCTTTCTTTATTAAGAAATACCTCAATATTCATCAAAAAAGCGATTGGGTGGCCTCAAAAATGGCTTCAAAATAAAGCGTGAGTTCACTATCCCGATTTTGCAAGTTCTTTTTTGAATATGGGGGCAATATAGAAGCATGTGTGTGTGACATCAAATTTCGTCGATCCCCATTACCACAAGGAGGCTTGGAGATTCCTATTACCCTAACAGTCATGCAGAACAATGCAAGTTTTAGGATATACAGCAAAATGCAGGCATTCATGACGGAATACTACGTATAACCTGAGAATATCCCGACTGAAATTGTACAGGATGAAAATGAAGACATTTTTGATTTTTAATGTTACCAGGACAACTAAAAACATATGTCAATATGTATATGCGTTAATAAAAAAACTGATTTGCATAACCAACAATGAATGTCTCATATAACACTACAAAGCTTTTCAGATTATATTTTCAGTACTAAAAATTCGCGCACTCAGCGCTGCGCGAATTCTAGTACTGCGCGAATTTTAATACAAGTAAGGTATGACATATTTATTGTATTTGCATAAAACTTAAAACAGCATTTTGCTCCATTTATTATTTATAAAAGAAAAAAGATATAATTTATTTTTGTATACATTATTGTATGTCTTATACATAAATAATGACATGTGTTTTATTTTTGCATGAATAAATTAGCTAAAAACTTTTAAAACTAATTGGAAATATGCAAAACACATGTGACATCACAAGAAAGAAGAAACTATGTATAAAATAGTGTTCTGTCTAAAACATATTTGCAACATCAATAACTCTTATATGATTTGTTTCTTTTGGTAGGAACGATACAGTTATTTCTGTGGTGTAGTGGTTATCACATGTGTTTTACTTGCACAAGGCCCTCAGTTCAATCCTGAGCAGCAACGATAACAATTGGAAGTAATTTTAATAATCAAAACTAATGTCAAACTAATTTTAAATACTACTGAATTTATGCCAATGCAGAACAATGATGAATAAAGTTTAATATAAAGTATAAATGAAAATAAAATAATTAGTTTATAAATAATTTTCCAATTGCTGTTTTTTATATTTTGTAACATGAAACACATTTATGTACAATTTTCATGTGATCGTTTTTATGGCATTTTAGAACAGCAGAAACCAAACAAGCTAAGATATTAAACCATTTCATAAGCAAAGAAAATTTTACATTATTTGACAATCACTTGAAAAGTTTTATATTTTCTTTAAATAAACATTTACAAATTTGATAGTATGTATATTTGTATGTAGTATGTATATGTTATGACATGTATTTTATACTTGCTAAAAAAATGACCTAAAAATTTTAAATCTTATTGTAGGTATTTAAAACATAGGTAATATTACAATTAAGAAGAAACTTAGTATGAAATAATGTTAACTCTAAAATATATGTGTAAAATGAATTAGTCTTATATGATTTATGTCTTTTTTATTAAGTAATATCAAACACCCCAAGAAGTCATTTATGTGGTATAGTGGTTATTGCATTTATGTTTAACATGAAAAACACCTTCAGCTGTATACTGAGAAAAACAAGTTATATTAAATTTTTATACTTTTGGTCAATGTAAGTAATTTATATTGAAAGAAACATGCCTTATGGCAATAGAAAATACTGACAAATTAATATTAAATAAAACTGAATCAATGGCAATGCAGAAAAATGGCAGTGCAATATTTAATTTATATTTTAATATAATTTTAAATTTACGCATTTATACATAGTTTCTAAAAATGTCTTTTATCATTGTTGACATAGTTTTCATGTCTTGTTACAAAATCAGAATGAAAACAAATAAATATATCACACAATTTAATACCAAAATAAAATTTTAGGTTACCTCGTTTGTAAATGATTATTTTGGTTCACTTAAACATTGACAAATCAATAGTAGATTGAGTTGCATTAATATGTGAATGCCACATATAATTAACGAGGAAAAATATTAATTCCATTTTCATCTCTTAAACAATTTACTGCTAATTGATTCTTGTAGCGACAAATTTGAAAAAGAAATAAATTTTAGAATTGGACAATTTAATATAAATAAAAATTTATAGAAAATAAAGACAATTCAAATCTGCTTTATTCGGTATACATTTTGTTGTTTGAGATGCTTAATTCTTTTAAGTGTTAGAAAAGGTGCAAATTTGATTATGTTATTCGTACATTATAAGTGATATGATAGGTATGTTACATGCCAAATGTTGTCAGTGCATTGTGATTAAGTCAAGTATATTTAAATTTGTTAATTTATTTATTTTGAAATTATGACATATTTATTGTATTTGCATAAAACTTAAAAAAACATTTTGCTCCATTTATTATTTATTAAAGAAAACAGATATAATTTTTTTTTGTATACATTATTGTATGTGTTATACATAAATAGTGACATGTGTTTTATTTTTGCATGAATAAATTGACTAAAAACTTTTAAAACTGATTGGAAATATGTAAAACACATGTGATATCACAAGAAAGAAGAAACCAAGTATAAACTAGTGCTCTGTCTAAAATATATTTGCAACATCAATAACTCTTATATGATTAGTTTCTTTTTTAGTAGGAATAAATACAGTTGTTTCTGTGGTGTAGTGGTTATCACATGTGTTTTACATGCACAAGGCCCTCAGTTTGATCCTGAGCAGCATGATAACAATTGGAAGTAATTTTTATAATCAACAGAATTAATGTCAAACTAATTTTAAATACTACTGAATTTATGCCAATGCAGAACAATGATGATTTAAAGTTTAATATAAAGTATAAATGAAAATAAAAATAATTAGTTATAAATAATTTTCCAATTGCTTTTGTATATTTTGTAACATGAAACACATACAATTTTCATGTGAATGTTTTATGTCATTTTAGAGAAGCAGAAACCAAACAAGCTAAGATATTAAACCATTTCATATTCAAAGAAAAATTTTATTATATTGACAATCACATCAAAGTTTATATTTTCTTTAAATAAACATTTACAAATTTGATAGTATGTATATTTGTATGTAGTATGTATATGTTATGACATGTATTTTATACTTGCTAAAAAAATGACCTAAAAATTTTAAATCTTATGGTAGATATTTAAAACATAGGTAATATTACAATTAAGAAGAAACTTAGTATGAAATAATGTTAAATCTAAAATATATGTGTAAAATGAATTAGTCTTATATGATTTGTTTCTTTTTTATTAAGTAATATCAAACACCCCAAGAAGTCATTTATGTGGTATAGTGGTTATTGCATTTGTGTTAACATGAAAAACACGTTCATCTGTACACTGAGAAAAACAAGTAATAGCAAATTTTTATACTTTTGGTCAAAGTAATTTATATTGAAAGAAACATCACTTATGCCAATAGAAAACACTGACAATTTAAAATTAAATAAAACTGAATCAATGGCAGCAATGCAGAAAAAGTGTAATATTTAAATTATATTTCAATATAATTTAAATTTATGCATTTATACATAGTTTCTAAAATGGTTATTGGTTTACTTTTTGTGCCTTAAACTCTATTATTGTTGGAAATATTTTTTATGGCATCACAAAATCAGAATGAAAACAAATAAATATATTACACAATTTAATAGAAAAATAAAATTTTAGGTTACTCGTTAGTCGTATCTAAATGATTATTTTGTCTTGACTTAAACATTGACAAATCCAATAGTAGATTGAGTTGCATTAATAACATAAAGAACAAGTCTCACGCTTTTGGCGTGAGACTCACGCTTTTCGACGCAATCTCACGCAACCACTCCATTCAGACAAAATATCACTCTTTTTCTTAAATATTACAACCAGCCCAAGTTTTTGAACCACCAAAGTCTATGCTAAAGAAAGCCAAAACTGCAACATGGGAATATAACAAGCTCCATAAGAAGTGATGTTTTGCTTCACAAAACTTCTACTGTTGAGAAAACAAAACATGTTGATTGAACCCTTATTTCAATTACGTTGATGAAAACCAAAGTAGGTCGATGAATTTTATTCATATTTTAGTCTAGGTTCGGCCATCCGGGCTCACTATTATGCCCCTTGTGATTACATTCTCACTTTACAAACCAAAACCTTGGCATCTATGAAATAAATACTCCATAAATCATTTTTTCTCTACATTTTTATATTTAAACGATTATATTTTCCTTTTTTCTTTGATACCATATATATTTTGTTCATTATCTTCTAAATGTTCACTTTTGATAATTTATGCTTTTATAAAATCGTTATTAATTTTTAGTCTTCTTCGTTCTCCTCATTGTCATCATTTACAAACGTTGGAAGAGAGGGACAATGATAATCAAACACTGAAAGAAAAATGTTATTATATATTCTTTCGATTTCATCATTTCCATACTCTATAAATTTCTACAAAATCATATTTCTTTCCCATTTTTTCCTCTAAAATTTCATTCATAATTTCACTATGATAAACAATGCAATCATATATTGAAATAATTTTACATTGGAATATTTTAAACAATATAATACTTTTTTTGAGGATTGCAACATTGTCAGGATGGCCGAGTGGTCTAAGGTGCCCGACTCAAGTACAGCAGTAATATTGCTTCAAGCATTCGGATACACAATTGTGGGCGTGGGTTCGAATCCTACTCCTGACAGTTAGGAATCTTAACCTACGTTAATGGAGCCTGTCCATGGTACTCACTGTTTATTTTTTACTTGTTTGTCTTTGTTTTCTTTCATCATATGGTTTGCATTTTGAAATTTTTCATTACACTATACGGAAACAGACAATTTATTATTAAATCATTAGAACTTAACTATACAAAACACATTTTAAAAATTCCATGTTTCCAATAGGAAACTTTGAAATGTACAATTTTTTTGACCTGTAAAGGAAAGTTTATAAGGCTTTTTATTTGTAGTTTTGTTCTTTAAAATCAGGACGGCACTATTGTCAAAGAAGCACCAGTGATAACATCTGTTTATAAAAGCACTTAGGTCAATAATTGTTTGCAAGGATTTGAATCGTTACTTTGACGTAAATTTAGTAAATAATTATTGTAATTTTATTGTTTTATTACTTTTAAGTATTTCAATTTTTTGACATTTAGAACTATAATTAATTAGGTTTACATTGTTATAAATTCAGAAATATACAAAGAAAGTCAAAAAAATCTGTAAAGCTTCCATGTTAAGGTTAATTTGAACATTAAATTGTAAATATATTTAAATTGATGTAATTTGAGCTCCTTTCTAAGAGTAAATATAAACCAGAACTACGTCCAGTTTTTCCACAACTTTTATATGCTATTAAGTCTTAGTGAAAGTTATTAACAATTTAATGCATGATGTAATTACATTTCAAAAGTTATAATTTTACATTAGAATATTTTAAAGAATATAGTGCTTTTGAGGATTGCAATATTCAGGATGGCGGGTGGTCTAAGGTGCCCACTCATACAGCACTAATATTGCTTCAAGCATTGGATCACAATTGTATGGGTTGAATCCTACCCTGACATTTAGGAATCTTAACTACGTTAATGGAGCCTGTCCATGGTACTCACTGTTTATTTTTACTTGTTTGTCTTTGTTTTCTTTCATCATATGGTTTGCATTTTGAAATTTTTCATTAATCTATATGGAAACAGACAATTTATTATTATATCATTAGAACTTAGCTATACAAAACACATTTTAAAAATTCCATGTTTCCAAAAGCAAACTTTGAAATGTACAATTTTTTTGACCTATAAAGGAAAGTTTATAAAGCTTTTTTTTATTTGTAGTGTTTTGTCTTTAAAATCAGGACTGACACTATTGTCAAAGTAGCACCAGTGATAACATCTGTTTATAAAAGCACTTAGGTCAATAATTTTGCAAGGATTTGAATCATACTTTTGACGTAAATTTTGTTTAGTAAATAATTATTGTAATTTTATTGTTTTATTACTTTAAGTATTTCAATTTTTTTTGACATTTAAAACTATAATTAATTAGGTTTACATTGTTATAAATTCAGAAATATACAAAGAAAGTCACAAAAAAATCTGTAAAGCTTCCATTTTAAGGTTAATTTGAACATTAAATTGTAAATATAATTAAATTGACGTAATTTGAGCTCCTTTCTAAGAGTAAAATATAAACCAGAACTACGTCCAGTTTTTTCCACAACTTTTATATGCTATTAAGCCTTAGTGAAAGTTATTAACAACTTACATACTTATGTAATTACATTTTAAAAAGTTATAATTTTACATTGAAATATTTTAAGCAATATACTTTTTTGAGGATGGCAACATTGTCAGGATGGCCGAGTGGTCTAAGGTGCCCGACTCAACACAGCACTAATATTGCTTCAAGCATTCGGTCCACAATTGTGCCGAATCCTACCCCATTTATGAATTTTAACCTACGTTAATGGAGCCTGTCCATGGTACTCACTGTTTATTTTTTACTTGTTTGTCTTTGTTTTCTTTCATCATGTGGTTTGCATTTTGAAATTTTTCATTAATCTATATGGAAACAGACAATTTATTATTAAATCATTAGAACTTAGCTATAGAAAACACATTTTAAAAATTCCATGTTTCCAAAAGCAAACTTTGAAATGTACAATTCTTTTGACCTATAAAGGAAAGTTTATAAAGCTTTTTTATTTGTAGTGTTTTGTACTTTAAAATCAGGACGGCACTATTGTCAAAGTAGCACCAGTGATAACATCTGTTTATAAAGCACAAGGTCAATAATTGTTTAAAGGATTTGAATCGTACTTTTGACGTAAATTTTGTTTAGTAAATAATTATTGTAATTTTATTGTTTTATTACTAAGTATTTCAATTTTTTTGACATTTAGAACTATAATTAATTAGGTCTACATTGTAATAAATTCAGAAATATACAAAGAAAGTCAAAAAAAATCTGTAAAGCTTCCATGTTAAGGTTAATTTGAACATTAAATTGTAAATATATTTAAATTGACGTAATTTGAGCTCCTTTCTAAGAGTAAAATATAAACCAGAACTCACCAGTTTTTCCACAAATTTTATATGCTAAGCCTTAGTGAAAGTTATTAACAACTTACATTATGTAATTACATTTTAAAAGTTATAATTTTACATTGGAATATTTTAAGCAATATAATACTTTTTTTGAGGATAGCAACATTGTCAGGATGGCCGAGTGGTCTAAGGTGCCCGACTCAAGTACAGCACTAATATTGCTTCAAGCATTCGGGTCCACAATTGTGGGCGTGGGTTCGAATCCTACTCCTGACATTTCTTAATTTTAACCTACGTTAATGGAGCCTGTCCATGGTACTCACTGTTTATTTTTTACTTGTTTGTCTTTGTTTTCTTTCATCATATGGTTTACATTTTGAAATTTTTCATTAATCTATATAATGAAACAGACAATTTATTATTAAATCATTAGAACTTAACTATACAAAACACATTTTAAAAATTCCATGTTTTCAAAAGGAAACTTCGAAATGTACAAATTTTTTGACCTATAAAGGAAAGTTTACAAGGCTTTTTTATTTGTAGTGTTTTGTACTTTAAAATCGCTGCACTATTGTCAAAGTAGCACCAATGATAACATCTGTTTTTAAAAGCACTTAGGTCAATAATTGTTTGCAAGGATTTGAATCGTACTTTGACGTAAATTTTGTTTAGTAAATAATTATTGTAATTTTATTGTTTTATTACTTTAAGTATTTCAATTTTTTTTGACATTTAGAATTATAATTAATTAGGTTTACATTGTAATAAATTCAGAAATATACAAAGAAAGTCAAAAAAAATCTGTAAAGCTCCCATGTTAAGGTTAATTTGAACATTAAATTGTAAATATATTTAAATTGACGTAATTTGAGCTCCTTTCTAAGAGTAAAATATAAACCAGAACTACGTTCAGTTTTTTCCACAACTTTTATATGCTATTAAGTCTTAGTGAAAGTTATTAACAATTTACGTACTGATGTAATTACATTTCAAAAAGTTATAATTTTACATTAGAATATTTTAAAGAATATAGTGCTTTTTTTGAGGATAGCAACATTGTCAGGATGGCCGAGTGGTCTAAGGTGCCCGACTCAAGTACAGCACTAATATTGCCTCAAGCATTCGGGTCCACAATTGTGGGTCGAATCCTACTCCCGACATTTATGAATTTTAACCTACGTTAATGGAGCCTGTCCATGGTACTCACCCTTTATTTTTTACTTGTTTGTCTTTGTTTTCTTTCATCATGTGGTTTGCATTTTGAAATTTTTCATTAATCTATACGGAAACAGACAATTTATTATTAAATCATTAGAACTTAACTATACAAAACACATTTTAAAAATTCCATGTTTCCAAAAGGAAACTTTGAAATGTACAATTTTTTTGACCTATAAAGGAAAGTTTATAAGGCTTTTTTATTTGTAGTGTTTTGTTCTTTAAAATCAGGACGGCACTATTGTCAAAGTAGCACCAGTGATAACATCTGTTTATTAAAAGCACTTAGGTCAATAATTGTTTGCTAGGATTTGAATCGTACTTTTGACGTAAATTTTGTTTAGTAAATAATTATTGTAATTTTATTGTTTTATTACTTTAAGTATTTCAATTTTTTTTGACATTTAGAACTATAATTAATTAGGTTTACATTGTTATAAATTCAGAAATATACAAAGAAAGTCAAAAAAAAATCTGTAAAGCTTCCATGTTAAGGTTAATTTGAACATTAAATTGTAAATATATTTAAATTGATGTAATTTGAGCTCCTTTCTAAGAGTAAAATATAAACCAGAACTACGTCCAGTTTTTTCCACAACTTTTATATGCTATTAAGTCTTAGTGAAAGTCATTAACAACTTACATACTTATATAATTACATTTCAAAAAGTTATAATTTTACATTAGAATATTTTAAAGAATATAGTGCTTTTTGTGAGGATTGCAATATTGTCAGGATGGCCGGGTGGTCTAAGGTGCCCGACTCAAGTACAGCACTAATATTGCTTCAAGCATTCGGATCCACAATTGTGGGCGTGGGTTGAATCCTACTCCTGACATTTAGGAATCTTAACTCACGTTAATGGAGCCTGTCCATGGTACTCACTTATTTTTTACTTGTTTGTCTTTGTTTTCTTTCATCATATGGTTTGCATTTTGAAATTTTCATTAATCTATGGAAACAGACAATTTATTATTAAATCATTAGAACTTAGCTATAGAAAACACATTTTAAAATTCCATGTTTCCAAAAGCAAACTTTGAAATGTACAATTCTTTTGACCTATAAAGGAAAGTTTATAAAGTATTTGTAGTGTTTTGTACTTTAAAATCAGGACGGCACTATTGTCAAAGTAGCACCAGTGATAACATCTGTTTATAAAAGGCACTTAGGTCAATAATTGTTTGCAAGGATTTGAATCAGACTTTTGACGTAAATTTTGTTTAGTAAATAATTATTGTAATTTTATTGTTTTATTACTTTAAGTATTTCAATTTTTTTTGACATTTAGAACTATAATTAATTAGGTCTACATTGTAATAAATTCAGAAATATACAAAGAAAGTCAAAAAAAATCTGTAAAGCTTCCATGTTAAGGTTAATTTAACATTAAATTGTAAATATATTTAAATTGACGTAATTTGAGCTCCTT